TTCTATCAACTTGTTATTGTGACCGTAGTCTGTTGCTAGGCCTCAAGGTTGTGGCTGTATTATCCCATATACTTATTATATGGATGAAAATATCTGAATTAGTTGGGCAACATCAAATCAACCTAATAATTTCCTCTGACTGGTTTATTTTGTGTACACTCCTTCACACCTATTGTGAATGGTGTGAACAAACTTCTAGTCTTTATAACTTATACATGCTGCCTTGTCACTGCCAAAGCAAGAAAAAGACAAAATCAAACAAGGACTAACCAACCAACATATCATGTTTCCAAATGGGCCATGGCTCACTGGCCTCAAACATTATTAAGCATATATAAAGGCTAAGATTTCATTTTGATCGAAAATGACATCATAAATGGACCAATTGGAGCACTTGGCACATGGTTTCTCTGTGGTTAAAGCGAGCTGGTCTTGTACACTTTGATGTTTGCATTGAGAGGAGTAGGAGGATGGGAAATAGAGAATCCACATTTTTTGGTATATGGTATAAGTTTCATTCTACAATGATCTATCATTTTAACGAGCCTCGTATGCAATAATTACAGTAAAGGATATAACAACATACCACGTGGTTTCTACATTATTTCTTTGTTTCTACTTATATCACATCCTTGTTACTTGCAGTTTCATATCGCTCCTTCACTTGCAAAATGGAAAAATACTATTGGCATTAAACTGCTGTAATTATTATTACTATCGTCATGGCTATTATTGTTATTTAGTTGTTACAAATATTGTTTCAAGTTAAATAACTTATTTAATACATTGTAGGACTAAAGTAAATGATGTAATATTGATTATAAATTCATTCTTTTTGAAAAACAAAGTTTTGAATGAGAAATTAATGAAGAGATGTTTTAAGCATTACCAATGTCAAAATGAGTTGTAACCTTAAGTGAATCCGGCGTACAACGGGTTTGAGCCGAGTTAGGTTTAAAAACAATATAATTTTTTATGGGGGTTAGTTTTCAACTTGGGCTCACTCAGAACCCGGCTCATGCGGGTTGAAACTGTGGTGAGCCGGGTTGGCTCATCAACCCATCTAATTTAATTTAATTATTTATTATTTTGTGTTTCAATATTTTTAGTTAGCATTTTTTTATTATATTGTTGATGAGATAAAAAAAAGATGTTTCAAAAGAGAAAAATATTATAAATTTATCTATTCAAGACTCTAATATTATAAATCAACAAGTGATACAAAAATTATCAATATTAAAAACTTATTTGTTCGCCTTTTGTGCTTATGTTTGGATTATGCTTGAATAGTATGATATTGTTATTTTATTTTGAATTGTTTTTGGAGTTTAACATCATTTTAGAGTGACATTTATTTAGATTTGAATTAAAAAAATTATAATTTTTTTTATTTAAAAAAATTATAATTAAGTGAGTAAGTGAGTCAACCCGTTTAATCCACCAACCCGTGATGGGTCGGGTCGGATTCGAATTTTTTTAGCTCGCTAATAAGTGAGTCGGGTTTGGTTGACTCACTAAATGACCAACCCGTGGTGAACCAGACCGAGTCGAACCAGATTACTCGTTTTGACAGCTTTAACCGTAAATGCACTTATTCGAGGTTTAACAATATGAAAATTTTAAATGTTCTAAATAAAAAAAATCATTTCTATATTAAAATAACTAATGTGAGAGCTTAGTTTAATTGTGTGGATCCAACCATTTTTTCCTAATAAATGTGGTGATAAAGGATGGTGGTGGTTGTTTTAGATTGAAACATAGAAGAATGAAAATGTGGAGCAAACAAAGTTCGGATTTTAGAGATAGGAAGTGTAATAATGATGTTTGTGACAAAACAAAGAGGCTTTGAAGGTGATAGAAAATAATGAGCATAACAACTTCAATTGATTAATCAAAGATACGTCATGTCAATTGAGGAAATGATAAAGGAGGAGAGGACGGGCATGTATTCGTAGAAGGGATGAATCGAGTACTACATTAGTCAATTAATTTAGATTCAAACTAAATTCAAATCTATATTTACTATAAAAAGAATTAGATAGAATTTTTGTACTAAATACAAATAATTGAATTGATGTCCAAATCTATACTTAAAAAAGTTTACATATTTATAGAAATTGGTATTCATTTTAAAATCATATTTTTTTTTCAAAAATATTGAAAATCCAAAATAATTAAATATATGTATTTAGTGTACATAAAATTTAATAAATACAAAATAAATATTAATTTGTATATTTTGTTGATTTATGGTTTTGTTTAAATGAGTTGTATTATGTGATAATGTTTATTCTGAGTTATGAGAGTTTTATGAACTTAGAATCACAAATCCATAATAATATATAAACATTTGTTTGAATTGTGTATTAAGTACTTATCTCTAATAAAGATCATCTTATTTATCAGATAATCTAAGATATCAATTAGTATTAAAGTGAGAGTTCTTATACTTTTGTAATTTGGGTTATAATAAACTTATCCATTAATTTTGGACTTGTTTGTAAATTTAAACTTTTTGAATTAGATCAGAATTATTCTTTACTAGACATATTTAATATAAGTATTTCAAAATTCATCAATTGATTTCATTGGTTCAATAAAAATTAATGTATAGATTCATACGTAATTTATATGATTTTTGTATATTTTGGTTTGATTGAAATTAAATTATTTATGGATTGCTAATTAAATTGTTTTCTTTTCACATATATTTCTGATATTAAAAATTTATTTTAATAAGTTATCTTTGTATAAGTGGTGATCTCTTTAATTATATTATGTACTTGAGAAGATATAAATCTAAGTGCAGAAACAACATCATCTGATAGAGAATAAAAAAATTGTTTAAATTCTCATAGATATTGATATTTATATATATTTATTGTGCATGTTTAAATTGTATTTTTGAAATACTACATGTTTTTGGTTGAGTTATCTAATATGTATCTATATTTTATGAGGTTATCATGTAATATTTAATAAAAAAATATGAGTATAATTTTATAACAGACTATGAAGGTGGAAGTCAACCTCATAAACCTAATTGTTTTTTTTATGCAACCCGTCCAAAATCAATTAATGAACTACAGTTTGCTCTTCACATCAATTTGAAAGTTTTCACTAACATAAAGTCTATTTGTTTTTTAGCAGTAAGTAGCTATTTGCTTGAACTGGTTTATCCATAAATATTTTTTAAATAAATAAAATAAAACGTGGAATTTGAAAAAGACACTGACATTGTTGCACCTATATTTTTGGCTTGTGGCTGATGATGTGTTGGCCAATGTCAAGCCTTTTCAGAGTTACCTTATCTATAACATTTTAGGATATTTTTTGTTATTTTTTCCACTTTTAAGAGTTATATTGAAAAAAAAATGAGGTTTATGCACCTGAGAAAAAAAAAGGTATTTCATTTATTAAACTAAGATATTTAATTTATAAAAAAAGTTAAAGTTATACATAATGATAATCATAGAAAATGAATAAGAATAAAATGATTATATATATATATATATATATATATATAAATATATATTTTTTTATAATGCTTAAAAATCAAACAATTAATTATATATAATATCAAGAAATTAAATAATTAATTTATATAATATGTATAATATTTCATTATATTTTATTTTAATATGTTTTTAGATATTTTGTCATCATATTTTATCAGGGTCCTATAAAAAAATTGAGTATGTAAGAGTTAAATATTAATAATACATCTTTTGGTGAGTTATTTAAAAAATATATGTTAAATAATTTGAGGTGAGTTATTTAAAAAATATATGTCAAATAACTTTTTAGTGAGTTATTTAAAAAATATTTGGTGAGTTATTAATATTCTAGGATTACAAAGCAAAAACAAAAGATTGGTTTATAAGTTAAATAAATTTGCATATGGACTGAGATAATTTTTTAAACAATGATTTTGTAAGTTTTTTTTTTCATGTTATTGTAACACAATTTTATACTGTCTAAAAGTATTACTTTCTGATTTCTCATCATTTTGTTATTCATTAGTCAATTTTAAATGTAAGTGGATGATATCATTCTAAGAGAATTTTTTTTATTTTTTATTTTTATAATGTATAATTAATATTAAGTTGTTTGTTTAAACTAAAAATCTTAGTTCTTTCTAATACTTTTTAAATTTGGAAATGGTCAAATCTATAACAAAGGTGTTTTAAGTAAGAAAAAATATATTCTATCTCTGTTTGATTATCTTTTTTTGTTAGGTAATAAATCTCGTATGTATTCTATGTAAACTTAGTCTCAGTAATGGTAACCTTATAAAAGATTGTTCTTAATATAGAAGATTAATTAGAAGAATTGTGTATTTGATCATGTTTAGACTAGACATTGCTTTTATAATTCATAAGCTTAGTCAATACATTCAAAATCTATTCACCACATATTTAATTGCAGTCAATCCACTTTTACAATATTTAAAATCCACTTCAGATTAACATTTGTTTTTTCCAACCAAAAACAAATTTCCTTTTTTTAATGTTTTTCTAATTTTTAAAAATTAAATAATTTATTATAAATAATATTTATAATAATTACCTTTAACTTATTTTAATATATTCATCATGGACTAATTGGAATCTCTTTCTAAAAATCTCATGTCATTAGGAAGGAAACTACAATAAGCTAATTTCGTGACTACATTGGTGCTAAATACAACCTCAGGTTGGATTTTAAGATCTCAAAATAACTTGAAGAAAATGCTCAATGCTGATGAGATGATAGTTTGTTTCTATAGCCATTAATTATCTCTAGCTTTCCTTTGTTTATTTGGTTTACTCATCTTTCTCGGATGGAACCAAACACAACTTACTATATTTCTTATTAGATTTAAGTCTAATTTTCATTTGTTATGAACTCTCATATATATTTCATATTATTATATTTTCTTTAAAAACAATGTTATAATAAATAAGACAATTATTACAACAATACTGTGCAAAAAGATTATAAGAATGATGTATAAAAAAAATCTGATACTCTGATCTCATACACTGTTTTATTGTAAATTTTTAATTAATTGCATATTAGATTTCTTCCACAATGGCATGGAAGGATATAAAAGAGAGTGGGAAGGGCAATTTTCGAAGACAACTCTGTTGTGTTCTGTTAATATTGTTACAGTATTTATTTATTCATTTGTCTTCCTTATTTTTCTGCACTGGCTGTTCCTGCAGTTGCCGTTGCAGGTTTTGCACCTTTCTCTCTCTTGAGACACCATAGCAGAATAATGGAGCTCCAAACCCGGAGCAATAATGGCGAAAAAGCAAACACAGAAGAAGACATCGACAGCAACTGCTCCACTCCCTACGTAAGTGCCCCTTCCAGTCCAGGCCGGGGACCAGTCGTTGGTGGAGGCTTCTTCTACAGTGCTCCGGCGAGTCCAATGCACTTCACCATAACAGCAGCTTCCACTTACTCACCCTCTTCCTCTTCCTTTGAGAAAAACTCCTCTTCCTGCGAGTTTGAGTTCTCGGCCCGGTTCAGTTTGACGGGTTTTAATGGTTCAGCTTCAATGAGTTCGGCAGATGAGTTGTTCCTCAACGGGCAGATCCGACCGATGAAACTTTCGACCCACTTGGAGCGTCCGCAGGTTCTGGCCCCGTTGCTGGATCTGGAAGATGAAGAGAAAGTAGAAAACGAAGATGTTGAAGCGCGTGTACGAGGTAGAGATCTGAGGTTGCGGGACAAGTCTCTCCGGAGAAGGACCAGATCCCTGTCACCTCTGAGGAACACGCCTCTGGAGTGGACAGAAAACGAGGATGTGGTGAATGAGGTAAAAACAGACAAGAAGGAAAACTTGACTCCTTCAAGTGGAACAGGGAGGAGTTCCAAGAGATGGGTTTTTTTGAGAGATTTTCTCAGAAGTAAAAGCGAAGGAAGAAGTAACAACAAGTTCTGGTCCACTATCTCCTTCTCCCCAGCCAAAGATAAAAAGGCCCAAAACCAGGGTAATGGGCAGCCAAAGTCCAAGAAGGTGACAGAAAAGCCCACTAACGGTGTCGTCGGAAAGAGGCGCTTACCGGCATCACCCCACGAGTTGCATTACAAAGCTAACCGCGCCCAAGCGGAGGAGTTGAGAAGGAAAACATTTTTGCCTTATAGACAAGGCTTACTTGGGTGTTTAGGATTTAGTTCCAAAGGATATGGTGCTATGAGTGGCTTTGCCAGAGCCTTAAACCCTGTCTCTTCCAGGTAAACTTTCCTGTTCCTTTCAATATTTATATATAAAAAAAAAGTTGTACAGATATCATTATTATTTGTTCTTGTATCGTTCTGGAATGGCGTAGTTGATTGTGGAAGTTTTGCGACCACCTCCTATTGTTGTATCTTACATTTCACAAGATTGATGAAACTTGAGCTTTCTTCTATCCATGTGTTTGTAGATGCTCATAAACAGTGTACAATATTTCATTGCTACTCACACACAGTACGTTGTCTTACTGTTTATGCTTGCTGTGCAGCGTGCAGTAACTGAGTCTGAGTTTATATTCACACTCGCTGGTTCTAGTTTTGGAACTTGATTTCATCTAAGTTTTACTATCTTGAGTGCATGTTTTCTGCAGTTAGATTAGACCTAAATAAGGGTTACAGCGTTTGGGTTGTTGTATGTTATATTAATTAACAATGTTAAGGGATTCAAAATGAATTGAAAATATATAAAAGGGAATAATGACAGAATCCACGTGGTGTGGGAGGGTGTGAGGTGGGTTTAGGTATGAGGCCCATAGTAACAGTGTAAACACAGTTGGAAGATGTTTCTAGTGTAGCTCTAAGGAGACCCACAATTGAAAGATGCTTATGTTTGTTTGTATCTTAGGTGTCCTAAACTTTTTGTTGCTTATGCAAATTGTATATCTGTCGGGACTCGGAGCAGGGCAAATACATGAAATCACCAACTTTGCCCTTGGCTAGTTATAAATAAGATGAAATCCATCTCTTATGAATCAGACCTAGTAATGAATTCTCAATGAGTTTCTGAAAACTTACATTTGGGTATGTCATGAATAAACCCTAATTGAAGTTATTGTATTTTTTTATTAATATTTATATTTCTTGTCCTTTTGATGTTTGGTGCACACAGTCTTCTCAGTAAGGAAAAAAATGAAAAGAGAGGTAAAATGTTGTTGTAACTTCGACTTACCAAACATTCGGTGCTATAAATTATTATATTAACTACATAGCCACCAACTGAGGTATGAGTCAATAAATCGGAATCTAAGTCTTTGATAAGATGGTGGAATTCAAATTTTAACTCCTTCAAAACTTAATATTTGTTAATCATACTCCATTTTCCTCACTAAAAATTAAGTCTTAGATTTTAAGGATAAACTTTTTTTATTAAATTTTTAAATTTTTAGTTTAGTTACTTGAAATCATATGGTTTTTAACAAAATATTATGAGTAGAGTTTTTGAAAGGATCAAGCAACAAATCAGAACCTTGTAGCGTGTTGAATGAATTGGTAGGTAAGGATTCAGTATCAGAATTGGTCTGAATTCAATTTATAAAAATAGTATATAATGTTCTTCATTGGTTCCAATTTGGTGATTGCACTGACTTTGCCTAGGAACATTTTACTATTTGAAATCAGGTAGGCATTCATTTTCTAAAGTTACATATATTATTATACTGTATGCAGAATATATTAACCATAAAACAATAAAACACTAAAACGTGTTTTCCACCTAAACCGATTCTATCTGTTTGTGTTCACGGTTCCAATCTAATGACCTACCGCTACCTATATTTCCTCTGCCTAGGATTTTTTATATCTGTCACTATTGTTTGATTATCATACCTGTTCTTAAATTTTAGTTTTGATTTCTTTGGGTTATGTTTTAAAAAATTACATGCAGCTTTTGTTGCTGTTTGAAAATTATAAATATTCAAATGAACTGATGAAAAAAAATATTCAAATGAATTTCAAAATATAAATACAAGGGTAATATTGAATTAAGTTTAACAAAATTCATTTTTTTATATATAAAAAGTCTTGTGAAATTAAAATAATAATTTTAAATTAAAAAAGGCTATGATAATCAATAATCAAGACAATTTTTCTAAAGTCTGCGAACATATTAGAAAAGAATTATCTACTAATTAAAATTTAATACATTATTTTATTTGTTAGATTGTGCAAAAATTTTATTTAAAATATGCTAGAGTTTTTTTTATACTTTCGTCTAATTCCAAAGATATATTATCCATTTTTAAATTATTTTTATTATTATATGAGATTATTCAATAAATAAAAATGAGGTTTTTATTTATTTATTTATTTTTCTATAATTAATATTCTGTAGCTTACTTTGACGTTGAGACTTTTAAATATTATTTGTAACCATACCATTATCTAAGACTTGTTTAATACTAGCCCGTTATTGTTATTAGAAATTATATGAAAAGCAATAAATAAAAAAAGGAAAATGATGATAAACTAGAATAATTTTTCATAAATTAATAGTGGTTATGTATGCTATACTATTTTACTAATAACTTGTAATTAAATGATAATGTAAAATTTATATTTTTGTTCAATTTATATTTTTTATTTTAATTCTTATACTCTTAAACTAATATGTTCAATGCTTTTAAAACTTCAAAGTTACATTTTTTAACAAAAAATTAATTATCAACATTAATATATATATATATATATATATATATATATATAATATTTTCAGTTATAAACTAGTATCAAATGTTTCTAATATTTAATTCATCTGCTGTAATGCTAGTAGTCACGGGTGGAAAGCAAACATTCATACTATTTGCTATTTTTATTTTTAAATAATTGAAATCCTTTAAATTCTTGTGAATTAGTAACATTCTTTCAAATATTATAATTTCATATTTTATAAATACATTAAAATTTAAATTATACATATTAATGATAAAAGATTTCTAAGAAAACCTTTAAAGAATGTACACTTTTAGAATGTTCTTCACAATCACATTCTTTATTGAGTATTAACCATGTTGGTAACTTTAGACATTTTAAAGTACAGCAGTTGAATTATGATATCAGATTGGTTAATTTCTCCATATAACCTAGAAAATGTAAGGAGTAAAATAATTGTTGTGGGAATGGGGTTAGTGTAGCAAAAGAAAGCCTGGGAATGATGAAATTAGAACTCCTTTTTGTTTGTTTGGGATGAAACAATAGATAGGAATATGAAGATAAAAGGGAGTGTGATGTTGAATCTCATAACATGAATAGTGAAAGGTGGGGGGTCCTCTTCCTCCTTCTCTGTGGACCTTATACAAACAATACTAAAAACATGGTAACATGATACTTCTGGTCTGAAAATCATGGATTCCCCTAAGTCCATGTCAGCTTTTCTCCCCACACTACATTCAGGTGCTCTACTAGGCCCCTGCCCATTGAACTCACACACGCTATTCCACATGTAATCACTGTATTCTGCATACAAAAAGACAACATAAAGCGGGCAATGTGCCAACAGAATAAGGGAAATGAATCTAATATTGAAAAAAAAATGTCAAATAATTTGTTTTTACTTTGTGTAGGATTGTGTAAACCCTTTGGTTTTAAGGTATTGGGTTTCTAGATACATGAATGATTCTCACTACCAATTAGTATAGAATGTCTAAGCTATGTGAATCATGAATACAATGAAAGTTATACTCTTTTCATCCTATGTTACAATATTTTTGCTTTAAAGTTATGTTAAAATTCGTTATTAAGACCTTTTTAATCACTTAGTCTTATCTTAACACATCATTTAATATTGTGGTTTTTAGAACAAGAATTAATAGAGATTAAAGATAATGAGTCAGTAATTGTCTTAAAAAAAGTAAGTAGATTTTCTATGAATACAAAATTTTTTAAAAAAAAAAAAGACAAAAAAAATCGTAACTAAAGGAATAAAACGGATAATTAAATAAATTACAAAAAAAAAAAAACACAACTGCTGGGTAGGTTCAACCGACAATGTTATAAGTTTAAGTGAACTATTCAGCAATCTGTGATTGATTTGTTTGTAATAATATAAATAAATGATGACACAACATACTGTGCAAAGATTCCTTTTAAAAGAGATTGCAGTTGTAGGCAGATTGAAGGCAAAAGCAAAAGACAATAACAATCTAGCCTGAGCAACATATAGAGTATGATGATTTCTTAATGAAAATTGTACTTCTGTTTTAATTTTACGACACGGTAAGTGATCAGTACAAAAATGTTCTTGAAATACTATTTATAAGAAGTGGGACATCTAGAAAACTAGGGTGATAACACCTAGAAACTGGGGAATTACAAATTATGTCTCCCTGAATAACTGAAATAAACTACTCTTCTATCACAGTAAAATCAAGCAAACGTTGATAAGATGTTCTTCTTCAGAGTGAATTCATCTGCTTTTGCTGGGCTGATTGACTGCTTCAAAAGACAGAAAACTTCAATCAGAGGAGTAACCCAAATTACTAACTATAGTTTAAAATGACAGATTTGGACCAATTGATTACATATCAGACCATCACACTCTTACCTAAACCTTCAATGAACAAAATCCAAGTACATCATTTACAATTTGCATAATCACCAATAGTGCAGTGAAATGAAAGATGTCTTAATTGTAAATTGAAAATGTAATAAGCATTTGAATAATTGAAATTAAAAAACTTGGTTCCGTTGAAGACTCCAGCAAGAGAATTCCATTTCCATCATATCAAATTCTTTTGAAGCAAAACAACGGAAAGTACAAGGAAAGGCTTGGTCACCTTATTTAATAAATAAGAGTAGCAAAGGGTTCTACCAATATACTCATTATCTTTATCTTGCTCTGCTATGCAGCATGGACATGACAAGAATCTCATGTCATAATCATAATGACAAATCAGTAAGAAAATTGTTTCCATTCTATTCCATTCCATGGAGTGGAACATGCTCAATAATACATTATGATATGCACTTGATTACATTAATCTCCAAAACATTTATGATATCAAACATGAGAAAGTCATCGATTACCTTTTCAAGCATGCGGTCTAGACGAAGAATTTCATTCTTTGCATAGTCCGTACCCTTTTCCATACTCTTCTTGGCAAGTTTTAAGTAGAGGCTGCCATATCTGGCCATAACAGAAGAGGACAAATGTCATAAAAACAAAGAAGTAAATCTTTATAATTAAAGAAAGAAATGTGGGTAAACAATTATGGCTTCACAATAATCACAATTGAAAATAAAACCAGAGAAACCATCACATAGCGGAACGGAACCATAAAATCATTCAAACCTGGCAGCAGAACCCTTGAGCTTCTTAACTTCCTCCTCAAGCCGGGAATATACTGCCTTCTTGTCATTATCATCAGCACTCACAAACTCCTTCACCAAGCCATCCAGAGATTCTACAATACCAGCCTGCACTAAGAATAGATAGTCATTATAATGATATTATTCCAGTCTCTTTCGTTTTAATTAACATATGTGATTAACTAACTTTAGAACTAAGCTGTCCTTTCCCATCACGGTATGTACCACATTTCTCATTGATGAAGGCTACAAAATCATCCAAACTACGACCACCACTATAATCTTCACCAGCTTTATTGCTCTTAGGGAAAAACTTCAGCGTAGGGTAGCCAGTAACACCATATCTGTATTGGAAAATTTCCAAATTAGGCACGTGTATTTCTTAAATACAATATCAACCTATTTTAAATAGGAGATAAATCAAAATGCCACCGCACTCACCTCTCAGCCAAATTCTTATACTTGTCAGCATCAACATTGGCTATAACTACTTCTTCATCCAGGTTAAATGCTGCAGCAACCTTTTCATAAGTCTGAAAATAGTAAAAACTTTATCAGGACAGGGTAGACCTTTGACATAATCACGGGCAGGTCAAGCTTATTAAGATACAATAACCATAAGCTATAATAGGAGTCTAAGGACCGAAGAACATCCTTACAGTGGCAAGAGCCTTGCAGTGACCACACCTGTAAAACATTATAAATTTA